TCACATCTTTAAATTACGTACGTGCTCGATCTTGAAGAAGTTACTTCATTAACAGAAGGAGAATCTAAAGCAAAGATATGATTACACATTTATCATGTGGTACTTAAATTGACTTAAGCAATTCATGCCCACATCATTTATTCCTGATCCCCTCTTTGTGCAGGTGGGACCACTTGGTAAACTGCTTGAGGGAACAGAGCCAGTTAAGAAGACCCTAGCCAAAACCAATAACAATTTCGGACCCAGAAGCAGTCATTTCATTCCAGAAGTGGTTTGTGGTGAGGTCCCAGTCTCAGAACAGGAAATTTTTGCTCCAAAGGTCATCTTTCTATGCAGAAGGCATATTTTTTTAATTGGAACGGATTGCAATGGCAGGGCTGTGGAATTGCCAGCTTTGGAAAAGACAAAATTAGTAGCAATTCCTTGTGAGACCACCAAAACAAGCTCTACAAGTATTGATTAAGGGTGGGTCAGGCACCGGTGGTGGATATAACCATCAGGTATGAAGGCAAATTATCATCGCTTGCTGATGCAGTTGATGAGAAGGTAAGGAAGTATCAAGGAACAAGTCCAGGAGGTGACAAATACCAAAAATATCAAGTTTTTCAGATTCCCATTGGAGCATGTGTGAAAGTGGTATGGTGTCAATTACAGGCTTTTATCCAGCCTTGGGCTTTCAAAATCCCAACCGGAATAGGTGCTCTTCTCCAGAAGAGCATTTATTCACATCTGTAGATACTGTACATGTCCTTGTGAGTCATACACGAACTATTGCATAAAATTAATTTGACTGTTGTATTGGGTCTGTCTGAGCTGGAGTTCATTTCCCCATGGTAGCCCTGTGCTTTGCATTGGTAGCTGGAAGGGTGTTGAAAACACACCGGTGTTTTGGATACTGCTGAGCAGGGCAGGCACAACATCAGCACTGTAACATTCCTTCCTCAGTTGAGGGCAAGATCCTAGAAGGGGACACAAGTAGGCCAGCTGACCCAAACTGACCAAAGAGATATTCCATACCACATGATGTCAGCTTAGATACAAAAGCTGAGGCAAGGAGTGGGTAGGAAGGCATTCATTTTCTCCGACGACTGCCTACTGAGAAACCATCACACATGCTGAAGCCCTGCTTCTCGGGAGTGGCCGACCATCGCTACTCATGGGAAGTAGAGAATAAACTGTGCTATCTTTCCCTTCACTTTGCTTCTGCGCGTGCAAGCTTCTGCTTTACTTTTTGCTTTAAATAAACTGCCTTATCCCAACTCACGAGTTGTTTTTTCCACCTTACTCTCTCCCCCGTCCAACTGGGGAGTGATAGAGCAGCTGGGTGGGTACCTGGCATCCAGCCAAGGTCAACCCACCACAGTCTTTTCTTGGTTTCTCAGCAGGCAGCCACTGGAGACAATAAATAAATAAATTACATTTGAGGATTGTCATGGCTGAGGAAAATGGATTCTTGTTGGAAGCAAGAGAGACTGGAAGATAGTAGGTAGGGACTAAAAGGGACTTGGTAATCATGACACGTCTTCTTAGTCCCTGACAAAACCAACTAGCCTTTCCTAGGTGGACAGAGCACCTTACTTAACCTTCAAAAGAAACATGCAATGTATATATGTTCAATAAATAGTGTGGAAGGCATAATCAATGTTTCACATTGGATTACCTTACTAGACACCAGAATACCCTCCTCCTATCTCATGTCCAATGAACCTGGAAAGCCAGTTAGACATTACCACACCTACCCCCAGCTGGGATATTTATAATCCCTCTCTCTTTATTCTCTGACATCTAATAAAAGGCATGCTCACACCATAGTCTTCTGCTATTTAATTAACGACAATAGGGAGACACAAATTTAGAGAAAACCAGTCTTTATTAATTTTCCTGCCCTCAGAGCTATTTGTTTCCTTTCTGCCATATCCATTAAGACAGGAACTAGTAATTTCTCACAGACAAATGAGTTATACGGATTTAATGCAAAAGACAGGAAAAGGCACCAGAGCACTGAGGTGCTGGCAGTGGGTTGGAGTGATCAAAAAGCACATTTTGGTGTATATTATGGGCCAAAAATTTACCAAAATTACCTGACCCAATTGTTCATTAGACCATTAGTGATGGTCCAGTCTGCCTGGGAGGAGAAACATGCAGATTCCTCTCCCTTCCTCACAGGTAATTTTTTCAGCCTGGTGCTGTATTGTAGTTATGACTCCAGTTTCAGACATTAATAAATTACAAGCAGAACTTTCCATGTTCTGCTGCCAAAAAAGGGTATCAGACAGAGGTGAGAAATCCAGATCTAGGAAAACTTAAATTCACCTTCCAGATACAGTGGAGTAGCAGATAGAATTCAGTAGCTGATTTAAAATACATTTCACTGCAGTCAGTTCTGACTTTCTGAACAAGAAAAGCATATTCATAGTAAAGAAAAGTTAGAGTTAATTGGGAAACAAATTTTAGCTATGATCAAACTGATAGTTTTTTACAACTAACAGCTTTCTGAAGGAAGCCGAGGCTGTTCTGATGCCAGGGCTGTGGGTGGACTCAGCCATGATGGAAAGTGCTGTCCCCAGCTGCTTGCCTCCAGCCAAAGGTTAGCCCCATGAAGTCTCACATAGGTACTTTTTAACCCATTTGAGACAAAATGAGTTGTATCACCTTACGCACCTTGCTTTTCATAGCCTAATGCTAAGGCTTGCAATGGTGTACATGAAGAAACAGAAGACGGAGACTTTCTGCAAGGTGTAGTGATGAGCAGCTGAGGACTGGCTAGTGATGAATGACTTCTACTGGTACAGCTATTTACAGAGTTCACATTTTTGTCACTCCAACACTGTAAACGTTTTCCACATTGTACCTGGTCATTTTTTAACACCAAATTCTAATTCACAGTCAAGCATCAGATGCTGTGATATGATCCTTCCCAGATGTAAAATCTCCAAAGGTTCCATGTCTACAAAGTAAAAGCTACCCAGGAATATCCTATTTCATTCAATACTTATTGTCTTGGAAATCTTTTGTCTGGTCATTCCAGTATAAAGTGTAACCAGAGAGCGCACATGTGTAGTTTCACTAGAAAGTGAATAGATATTTACAACGCAGGGAACAGAGAAGGCCAGGAGCACTAGCACAAGCAAATACACAAACTATAAGTCATTAACTGGGTGCTTCTGAAGAATAGTCTGAGGTTATTCTGTCATTTAATGCTGCAATCTAGGATTTTATTTTCCCAGGTAACACAAGTTTATTTGAAAGGTACTGCAGCAAGTTCATAGTTATATGGCCAGATCTATCCTGGCTGCCATAGTAAGGGAAAGAAAAGACAGACGTGATGACACAGGAATCTTTCCGATCATAGCTTCCCCTACTTTATACCTGCTACCACTGAGTGCTTGCCAAAAGCAAGACTAGCTATTTTCTCCCAGTACTCTCATGACCACTCATCTGCTTTTGAAAGTAAAAAACCTGTCTACAACCTTTTTCCCTACTTTGATCTAGAACACAGAATAATAGTATTTAAGATTTAGTGGGGATTTTCCAACATCTGTAATAGATGATAGCCTCTCAAGTGCAATGCAAAAACCAAAGTCAGAAAATTAAGTGTCCATGTCATCAAGGGAATGTGGGAAAAGGAAGGGAAAGCAATTCAGACCTGTGAGTTTTATGAGTGCCTAGAGTAAAACAAATCATGTAAATATTGCTTCTTTTCCCATTTGAGGTAGAAACTTGCAAAGCTCTGATTCCTGTAAACACTACGGACTTTCAATGACTTCTATGTTCTGGTAAGAGTTTTGCAAGTTTAACCAGTTTCTCACTTTGCTTTGTCTCTCCTGGGTTGATAAATACTTCACTTATTCAGATTACTGAAAGAAGTCCAGGTTTGGGGAATAAACACCTTCCTGGGCTCAGTGATTGATCTTATGCTACTCAAGGATGTTTCTGATTAATAAAATTAAGGAGTTAAGGAAGCTGGACATATGGGCAATAAGAGAGACATGAGCATTTTTAATTCAGTTATCGAGTGTATAGTTTGTGTATCTTGCACAATTGTGTAGCCTGTGTTAGCAACCCTGGTATGCTCAGCCACCAATCACACCTTCTGCATAAGGTTTCTGTGCTAGCCTGGCTAGAGACAGCCTCTTGTTTTCACACTGAGTCAGAGGAGCATGCCTCAGCAGAATGGCCACAGGAGGCTTCCTGCAGGGTAGGGCAGGCTGTTCAGCCTTTGGCCTGTGAGTTGTGCACTTCTAACAAAAACTTGTCTCCATGTGAAAACACTGAGAAATGCAAGCCTGCACTCATTCCTGTTTGGGGCTGTGTCCAGTTCTGGACTCCCCAGTACAAGACAGACAAGAAGCTACAGAAGAGGGTCCAGTGAAGGGCCACAAAGATGATGGAGCATCTCTCTTATGAGGAGAGATCGAGGGAGCTGGGCCTGTTTAGTCTAGAGAAGGGAAGCCTATAGGGGATCTCATAAATACATATAAATATCTCAAAGGCAGATGCCAATAGGACGGTGCCAGGCTCTTTTCAGTGGCACCCAGCAACAGGACAAGGAGCAACGGCCACAAAATAAAATGCAAGTTCTACCTCAACATGAGGAAGAATTTCTTTACATGGAGCATGTCAGAACACTGGAACAGGCTGCCCAGGGAGGTCATGGATTCATTCAAAACCCACCCGGAGGCGTTCCTGTGTAACCTGCTCTAGGTGACCCTGCCTTGTCAGTGGGGTTGGACCAGATGATCTCCAGAGGTCCCCTCCCACCCGAAGGATTCTGTGATTCCGTGTGATTCTGTTCCGTGGGCCTTGGACACGAGAGAGTCGGGGGCTCCGCAGGGGAGTTGCCTTCCGGCCCCCGGAGCGCGGCACAGGCCAGCACTGCACAACCAGTCCCCGGCCCTGGGCTCTCACTCCCCGCCGCGGCTTTGCCACCGGACCAGCAGTACGGCGGCCCGGCCATGCCCTGCGCAGGCGCGGTGAGCAGGCGGAGCCCGAACCCCCGCTCCTCCTCCCGGCTCCCTGTGATCCCCGCCGCCTTCCGTAGCGGGAGCGCACGGAGGCGGAGGAGTGCGGGCGAGTTTGGTCCGCCGCGCTGGCGAGATGGCGGCGCAGAAGATTAACGAGGCGCTGGAGCACATCGCGAAAGCGGAGAAATAGTGAGCGGGGCGGAGGGTGCGCGGTGGGGGAGGCTGGCCGGCGGCTGCTCGTCAGTGCCCGGGCTCTGCGGCCCGCACCGCTCTACTGCCCCACCGAGGCGTCGTGTCGTCTGCTGGCCTGGCAGGGAGGCTGAGGGAACACCCCGTGTGCCGGGCAGCTGGACCTCGGGAGATAGGGAAGGGGGTGGCGGGGTCGGGGGGGTCTGGCCGAGGGAGTAGGAGGGCATTGCTGCTTGGCCCCTCGTCTGCCTCAGGGCAGCCTCCCTGCGGGGGGTGGGTGCTTACAGGACGCCCTTCTGCCCCGAGCTGGGAGACGAAAGCGGCCCTAAAACTAAGAATCGGTGTCGGTGGGGCGGTGCGGCTCAGAGGCCTGGGGCCTGAGCAGTAAGGGCCTTCTAGCCTCTATTGCTCAGACCCAAACTGGAGAGGGAGGGGAGTCACTTCTGCCCTTCTGCTGAAGTGAGTGGGAGGAAAACAGGATCACAGACACAGTTAGGTTGACAAAGAGCTCCGAGCTCATCGAGTCCAACCTAGGACCAAACACCATATCAACCAGACCATGGCACTGAGTGCCACGTCCAGTCTTTCCTTAAACACCTTCAGGGATGGTGACTTCACCACCTTCCTGGGCAGCCCATTCCAATATCTAATCACCCTTTCTGTAAAGAATTTCTTCCTAATGTCCGACCTAAACCTCCCCTGGCACAGCTTAAGGCTACAGACAAGTGAGAGAAAAGACTTATGGAGACTGTAGTGGATAAAGGGGCTTGACTTTGCAGAGATGATGTGTGTGTTTGTTTCCTACACCTGTGAAAAGTGTGATTGTTACTTCTTGGAGGCCTTTGAAGACCTATGCTGACGTTTATCTTGGAGAGTTTAACATCTGCATATGAGTCTTTTATTGTGTATTTTAACACTGAATAGAGGCATTTTGCTTATAAGTCCCACTTTCACAGACAGCAGTATGGATGTAATAGCACTGACAAAGCTGCTATAATTTTAGTAAGAAGAGTAACAGGCCCTCTGGAATCATGGCTCAAAAGTTATGGTAATTTTTATATTTGTTTTAGAAGTGAGGAAGTCAGAATATTGAAATCAAAATTGCCTGATTACTCACTTCATTTTAGAGTGTACGTTTTTCCCTAATGTATGTATGTCTGTGTGTGGCACCATTAAGTGTAAACATTTAAATGATATGTGAGGCTTTGTGTTGGTAAGTAAATTCTTTTATTTGTGTATGCAGTGGAGAGTCTTTGATAATTCTCATCAGCAGAAAAAATTCCTGTAGAAGGACGCTGGAAACTTCCTGATACGTAGAAAAAAAATATATTGGAAATATCGTTAGGTGTTGTGGTATTAGAAATCTTGAGGCATCATGTTGGTGTAGGCTGACGTCTTACTGCTGAGGAGCTGGACTTGGGGAGACTCTCTGGGGACAGCAGAAGCATGTTAGTGCAAGGCATGTAACTATGGGAGATCATTGCAGTGCTTTATGCAATTCTGACCAGTGCTGGCATTTGTTTTTACGGTAGTGATGCCACTGTAGTATTGGCATATAGGTAACTGCTCCTTTCTAGAGGTAGTCTAAATAAATATATCTGAAGTGTCTTGAAGGTAAAACAAAATCTTTACAAATTGTTAATGGACCTTTCTTCTTGTGTTTTAGCCTGAAAACTGGATTCTTAAAGTGGAAACCAGATTATGACAGTGCAGCTACTGAATATGGGAAGGCAGGTATGTATGACTGTAAATATAGCCATATGTTTTATGATTTCAAAGTATTCATTAAGCTTAATCCCTGATAACGTTTTACATATTTTTAGTACGTTACTATGTAAGTAAAAGTGTTGTGAAGACTAAAAGTAAAATGAAACAACAAAGTAGCACTATAAAATAAGTTTCAGGTAGTACTTGGAGATCTAGAACAGTTCTCAAAACCGATTTTTTTTTGTCAAGCTTACAACTTCTACTTTTTATGTTGTTACATGTGATAAAAATAAAGCTTTCCTTCTTTCGCTTGTCCACCCCCAAGTCCTGTGACTTTATCTACAAAATGACAAATGTTCAAGCTAGTTTTAAAATTTTGCTTAATCATCATCTTATAAAATGCATCTTGCAAAGGCTGTTTCAGTAAGGTAGAGAGATGCTGCCAAGTTGGGGTTTTTTTTCAGGCATACTAAGGTCTCTTTCTTCCCTTTTTCCACTACAAGAGAAACACTGAGTATAAAATTCTTACTAGTTGATTTCTTTGTGTTCTTAAACATTTTCTTCTTTGTGACAGTAGTAATTTATCATAGTCTTTTGACTCCTTACTTGAGGCACTCCTACTTACTCACTGAAGCCTGAATAAAAAAATACAAACATGGAAGAGCAACTGGAGCATTTATAAATTGAAATTTATTTTAAATCCTACTTTAATATTTTATCAGTTAAATGGAGATAGAAATACATAGTTGTGCCCTGAATTCGTTGTGCTGAGGAAGTTGTTATACGTATATGCCTTATTGGTGGCACACTTCTATTCCTACCATACTGATTTTGTATAACCTCTAATGATTAAAATGATACACATATGCATTCCTGCAGTTCTGTAATTACAATACAGAGTGAGTGAGTTTCAAAAACCAGCTAAACACATTGTGCACTATGTATGATAATGTGGTGGTATGGAAGTGGTGTTGACAAATGTTTTTAATGGCAACTAAGTGACTAACGAAGCAAGGAGAACCGTCATGGGATTTTTGGGAAGACCTTGGTAAACTGTAACCATTCATTTAAAAAGTCTGTTTGCACCTTCAGGTAGCTAAACTCTTGAGCAGAAGTGGTAAAAAGAGGACAATGGCAAGCTGTAAATAAAACCTCTTATTTGCTTTCTTGCAGCTGTTGCTTTTAAGAATGCCAAGCAGTTTGACCAGGCAAGGGAAGCCTGTTTACGGGAAGCTGAGGCACATGAAAACAATAAAGCGTATCTTTTCATTGACTGCTGTTCTTTTTTCCAAGAAGCTGACTAGTTGATACTTAGATTGCAGTAATGGGGCTTGGTAGCAGGTTGTTTAATACATTTGTGCATTTTGTCAGTCTAGCAGAATTGCTTTTTAAAAGGCTGTTCCCATGTGCTCTGAGTGGGAAATCTAAAGAACTCTTGGTTAGATAATCAGTTTCCAATCAGAAAATATGTTCCAAATAACATCTGGAGTGATAAGATGTTGGCAGATGCCTGAGATGTCTAGGTACTGCTTCAGAAATTTAATTTTTTTTTTAATTGCCTACAAATGGATAGTATAAACTAAACATACCTCTGAAATTATTACAGTACTTGTACTACTATTTAATAAGCAGCAACATATTTTAAATAAGCGTGCTTTTTACAACTTTATGTGCAGCTGTGCATTGTTATGTTGCATTTTTCTGTCCTTGGAATCATTTATTTTTGGCAAGTTGCCTATAGTGCCTTTATGGGGTTCCTTGCTTTGAAACTAGTAGTTGTATAACATTTTGCACGTTAATTTTTTCTTTTGCATTATGTGGCTTTTGTCCTTGACTTTGACTGTTTTACTTCCAGTCTCTTCCATGCTGCCAAGTAAGTACAGAAGCACTAAGTAATCTGAAACAAATTGTTTAAAATACAGTACAAGCATGAACTGTCATTTTGATTTCACTATAGTAAGCATTATGGTTCAAGTAATTTTGCTGTTTCAAAATCATTTCAATGTAAGTGGGAGCTAGAAAAGTCTGAAAACTTGCAATGGCTACCTGAAGAAATGATGATTTTGGCATTCTTTGGCACTTTTTGATAGCAAATATTTTTTCTTAGATGATCTTTTCATAATTTTGAAATTCTATGCTGTTGAGCTTATAAAGAAATTTTTAATTAAAGAGTACTTCAAAGCAAGCAGATAATAATCCAAATATTGCCCGTGGATCAGATTAGAATAGATTTTTAGTGGGTAGTGTGGTTGAAGTACTTAATTTGTGGAAGATAATGTTACATATGCTCTGTCTCATTAAATAAAACACTTGAAACATCTTCAAAGCATTAAATATTAACAGTGAAGTGATAGCCAATGCATGATAACCTTTGCTCCATAATTACAGCTTGCTGAAATATACCATCTTTAACCAAATGGTACATTTTTTTTCTTTGCAGAGCTTATGAACAAGCTGGCATGATGCTAAAGGTATTTTCACTTACTAGTTTTTATTAAAAAGTTCTATTTTATAGATGAAGAATATTGTGCACTGGATCATTTAACAAATATATGTAAGTTAATTGCCTATTAAAGTGATACTTTTCTGTTGCCTCGTAGTGCCCACCAACACCTTCAGTAGATGAGGAAAGCAACATTTGTATTTGGGGGGTAAAAATAGTTTTCCTTTTATAGGAGGAAAGAAGAGTGCATTGTGTCACAGGGTAACAGAAGAGTGGTACTGATTTTGCTCGAAACTACCACAAATTAATGACTTACGTGAAAGTTTAGTACTCAGAAGTGAATTTTATGGAGTTGGTGGTCAACTTTCACTAGCTCTACAAGTTTATAAATAAAAATTAGAATCTTAATAAGGTGTCAGTTTGCTTTGATTTGTGTCATTGTTCATAAGCTCAATTCCTGACAACAGCGTCCCTTTGACTGTTGCTTTGTAGGAGATGCAGAGACTCCCTGAAGCAGTTCAGCTGATCGAGAAAGCCAGTATGATGTACCTGGAGAATGGAACACCAGATACAGCAGCTATTGCTCTGGAACGGGCTGGGAAGTAAGTCTGAGCTATGAGGGGCTAGAATGCATGCAAGGTGTGGGTATATCTTTGGTTTTCTTTTATGTCTTTATGATGCTTTCAGGTAAAAAACATTTTCCTTTTATTTGAAGAAAAATTTTGGATGTTTATTACAGATTAATAGAAAATGTGAGCCCAGAGAAGGCTGTGCAACTCTATCAGCAAGCAGCGTCAGTGTTTGAAGTAAGTGGGTGATTTGGTTGGTTGGTTGGTTTTTTTCTTTTGGCTATAAAATCAAGAAAAAGCCCAAGATACGGTTCTAAATTTTTTCCTTCCTTTTACATCAGTGGCTGAGTAATGAAGCTGAAGGCTTCTTATGTTGTTGAGAAGGAGATTATAAAAGTTAGGAGTCAGTTTGCTTTGCCTTTTTCTCAGTTTAGGACTTCACTGAACCTGAATTTTGTATGTTGTCAAGTTTTCTGCCTCTTGTTGGGCAGCCCAGAGGGTAGGGAACATATCTGCTGTTGAGTCCTGGAGCCCAAAATAATTTGAAATCCTTGAAGTATAGAGGAGAAGTGTTTGCTTGGTGCTCTACCCATGCCATGAGCTGATGGTTTGCCTTTTTGCTACTGCCTTTGATGTACTTCTGTATTGTCAATTGTGACGTGTTTCCCGATTAGCAAGTTTGCATTGGTGTTACTTTGCTGAGCACATCCATACAGGAGCTGGCTGTAGAACTTGGGAGCTCCAATACTCTTCATGTTTCTCTTGTGTGAACTGCTGATACAATAGCTAACAGTTGTTCTAAGTTAGAGGTGACACACTTAGATAAAGATCTAGTGGTCTTAATGCTATGCAAATGAAATAAGAATGTATGAATTCTTTTTGTTCTTCTCTAGAATGAGGAGCGTTTACGGCAGGCATTAGAAATGCTGGGGAAGGCATCAAGACTTTTAGTCAGAGGACGCAGGTATAGCTTTATTCTTTCTTATTCTTTTAATGTAATTGAATCTTAAATAGTTACTTTGATTGGGGTTTTTTTCTTGCTGTTTTTGCATTTTTGTACTGTTACTTAATTCTTCATTGAGATACACTTCAAATTAAAATTCAGTTTCTGTGGGATATGCCATGTTCATTCAGGAACCACCTGTTTTGTATCCTGGGATAATATGGGCTGAAAGGCTTTGTTTCCTTTGTGTTTGTTGAATAGCTAGAAAGCACATGCACCAGTTTTCATTAATTATTAAACTGCTTCAGGATTTTTTGTTTTTCTTCCAATACTAATATGTAGAAAGTACTTGAAAGTCTTTTATGGCTGTAGGAGACAAAACAGGGGAATTAGGTGATTAACGTGAGGAAACGTATCTGCTTGCAGCAGTCTGATTCTGGACTTCCTAAAGAAGAGCATTCCTTGGAGTCTCAATGGGACAAGTTTAATTGTAATTACTTGCACCAAACTTGACCTTCAATTCAGCTTAGACTTGCTTCACTGAAACATTTAGGTCCTTTAAGAAATTTTCTGGATTTCTAACTCTACTTTCAGGACACTTTATTTCACTGCAGAAAAGTAGTCAGAAAAGAAAAGTGACAATGTAATTTGAAAGTCTTTCTGTGAAAGCCAGTCAACATAGCTTCAGAACATATGAAAGAATTGGTTGCTCTGTTGCTTAATAGCTCATGTGCTACTTCTAATTTCTAGAAATTGAATATGATGATTAAAAGAGTATTAAAATTCAGAAGTAGTTACTATTACTATATATTGGTAGTTCATGGATATCAGACTTACTGGTAGCTTATAGTAACCTCATGACATACAGAAATCTGTTAGGGTGTGGAACAAAGCATTCATCTTGTATGATGTTATAAAAAACAAGGCTTCTCTGAATGAATACCAAAGATGTTCTTAGCATGTATACAAAGGAATTGCTGACTGTATATTTATCTACTCTGTTAGTAAGATCTACTGCTGATTTTTAGTTGTGTTGCTTTTTATTGCAGTAGACTTGCTACTGTATTAGTTAAACACTTTGTATTTAGCCTCAGTTTTGTTGTGCTGTATTCCTGGTGCTGATACTCCTGTTTTTTTTGTTTTTAGATTAGATGAAGCTGCATTGTCTCTTCAAAAGGAGAAAAGTATTTATAAGGAAATTGAAAATTACCCTACATGCTATAAGGTAAATTCTAAGAGCCAACTTCTGATAATGCATTTCAGGTTTTTTTCTGGGTAGTTAATGACAGTTGACATCTGACTGATGGTATGTACTGCTTGATCCAGGGATACATTTCTTGCTAACAATGAGAATTCATAGTAGTGCATGTTTCCCAAATCTCTAACTGTGCTTTTTTCACTACTATAATTTTGAAGATAAGATGCTGATATGTACAGGAGCTGTCAACACCAAAACCACATAAAAATAAAGATGTTATAAAAGATAAAAAGGTACAAAAACTGTTACTTGATACAACAGTTCATTAAAATGTTATAGGAGATAATCTATTTCATACTAGCAGAGGATAGGCTTTCTGTTTTTTCACTATATTGTTCTGACTCTTTTGTGTCATTATCTTAGAATGATTGGGGATTGTAATGACCTTTTTCATGCTAAATATTAGCAGTCTACTGTTTTTTTCATATTTTACTGTTAATTTCTAAGGAATCATTAGGTTTATTTTTTTTTTTTTTGTTTAGAAAACTATTGCTCAAGTCTTAGTTCATCTTCATAGAAATGATTATGTTGCCGCAGAGAGATGTGTGAGAGAAAGCTATAGGTAAGTCTGCTTCATGTCCTATAATTTTAAAGCGAATGTTTCACTGATGTAGATCTTTTTGCTTGACAGTGTTTCCATTGTTCTTTCATAAATTTTTAACCCGCACTTCTGTTGACTTACAGTACAATAATAACATTCCCTGGTATGTGGCTATCAGGAATTTTTTTCACACATAACAGATTTAGCTGTAATTACTACAGTGATTCTTCTCAATGAACCTAAAATAAAAAGTTAGTCATTAAGAACTAGTTATGTGCCACAGGGGAAATGAGATAGAAATGAGAAGTTCCTCCTGTGTTTTCCCTTGTTAAAAGCTGAGCAGAATACCATTATGGCTGGGATTCTTATCTTACTGCTGTCCTTTTGGTTGTGTCTTATCGTGTGGAACAGACATGGTTAAGGTATTGTAAACAAATGTTTAGGATTAAAAGTGGGTATTTCCAGATGTTGCTAATTGAATTTTAATTTTTTCAAAATGTTTTTGCCATGTGTGGAGGCCCTTGAAAAGTTTTAATTCTAACTTGCCATTATGATATTTTATTGCAGTTTGAGAAGGGAAATATGGAATACAGTATCAAAGCGCACAGTGGCAGCATCCCAGTATAATCAATTAAACTATCTAGTATGATGATTCGACTGAGGGAAAGATTAATCTAAATGTTTTAGTTAAAGAAAAGTTTGCAGCATGTGAGTTACTTCATTTCTGGCTGTATTAATCTAGGAGATCATGCCCTCATCACACATTGGGGGAAGAAAAGCAAGATTTCTACTTTCTGTAACTTTTGAGTAGCTGGTTGAACTGAAAGATAATGTAGGAAGCAGAAAGTAGTCTAATTGAATATATTGAATTGAAGAAGGCATTTTTTACACATACAGGAGAAAATTCTGGTGTCAGAATATGGATTAGTGTTTAACCCTGGTTCCAGAAGCTTCCCTAGCAACTTTCATTTCAACTCTCATTAGGACTTCAGTAGCAAAATCTTGAAATAACATGTTTTTACTTAAACTGTGGTTTTAGTGAAATGACTTGAACATATATATAAGTTAAATTGCACTTTATTTTTATAAACAATTTTTCAAGATCAGTCTTTAAACATGTTGCTCATATTTTTCAAATTTCCAATTTGTATTTTATGTGTAGAAATGAATGACAGGTTTTTTCTGTATGTAAAGTGGAGAAAGAGTTTATTGACTAGTCAGGAAAAAGTTTAAAAATTCTAATATACTTGTTTTGTCTTGACTGTGGTTGTGGTTTTATTCTCAGAATGCAAACTAATATTGCTGAAAGTTTTTAATTTTTATGGATATGATTTCTGTACCTGGAAAAGTCAAAGTGGTTATAGACAGTTTTGTGGAATAACCAGTCTATCAGATTCTTGAAAGCTGCTTGCACTTCTGCTGTTAAATGCTGCTGATTTAAAGATAGAATAGCTGAGTGTCAAGTAGATTGCTGAAATGTCTTAAATAAGCTCTTAATTTCCTTCAGTATACCAGGATTCAATGGAAGTGAAGATTGTGCAGCACTAGAGCAACTTTTAGAAGGGTATGATCAGCAAGATCAGGATCAAGTTTCTGAAGTCTGTAATTCTCCACTCTTCAAATACATGGATAATGATGTAAGTAGGCAATTCCTGTGGGATTTTTTTTTTTAATAATCCTTTTGCATGTTGAGGTTAAGAGATATGGTTTTTTCCTAGTAGAGGAAAATAAGAGCACCATCCATGTATTTATTTTGACTTGCTGTCATGCTACCCTGTACCTGTAAACTTCATATATTCTTTACCTCTCAGTGATGATGCTTTCAGATGGTGTGAAGGCTTAGGTGAAAGAGCAGCTTGTTATGCATTTGATGAGTTTGTTTAATGAGTTAACCAAAATTCAGCCCCCTTCTAATTCCTTCTTTAAGGACCAGAACAGTTTGCTACTTCTGCTTTTCCTCAGAAATATAATAGCTAGGTGTGCATAAACATCACAGAGTATGATGCCTACAGGATGGCATTGTTGGATGCTTTTATCCATCGCTTATTCCTTAGCAAGGTACTAATTTTGAAAGAGTTTTAATGCTGAGTGAGCAGTTGTGACCATTTCCCCAGCTATTTTTTTATTTAATTGAACTTGTAAATTTAGGAATTATAAGGAGGTATAAGGATAGGAGAGGTGTGAAGTGAAGGAAACATCCATCCGTGCCAAACCTTGTAACAGTATTAGCTAATTTTACTTTATTACTCTGTTGAATAGTAAAGGTTGAGGTATTAGTCTTGCTGAAAAACACAATAAAACTTTTTACATTATCTGTTACTAGGCAATGTATGCAGAGCTGCATACTGGAATTTTTATTGTTATGTAAAACTTAAAACAGAGAAACTATAGGATGTGGCCAAATTATTCTATAATAAGCCGTATTAATACAGACCTCACATCCCATTCTCAGAGTGTTTGAGATGGAAGAAAATGAACCAATGTTATGCTTATTCTAAGCTGAAAAAATATACTCTGAGAGCAGCATCACTCTGTTTGCTGTACTGAATGTTGCCTGCTTCTTTATTGTGACCATCAGTCAATTCTGTGACAGTACAGAAATTAAACTTGCTTTGTTATTGTCAGTATGCCAAGCTTGGTCTTACCTTGGTGGTCCCAGGAGGTGGAATCAAGAAGAAATCGCCAAATGCTGCACAAGACAAAGCCAGAGGACCAGCTGCAGTGGGCTCTCATGCTGATGAGGAAGAGGATGAATATTCTGGTGGACTGTGCTAGCTACAGGCTAGGTTGTCTTAAATATCTGACTTATTTGTGATGTTGAGCATATCCAAAGGTACCAGATTTACCAGAGCTTCATTGCAATTGTGATATGGGAATCCTAATATGAACTTGGCAGCTTCTGGGTACAGTACAGGAGAAAAAGCATGACTGTACCTACCATCTTGAATTATCTTTGGACTTCATCTCTTATCTGGTAGGAGCTTCCTTAGGGCCCTGACTTCAGTTGAGAGAATTTTTACTAAAAGCACAGTTTAATACCAAAACCCCAGAAGCACTTGAGTAGGGAGAGTGGTACAAAATTTTAAGCACTGAATTTCAACAGCTGACACTTTTTGGTCCCAGAAAGATGTTTGCGATTGTTTTTGGAGTTAAACGCATGATAATTCATCTGGTCTCCCGTTTAAGACTATTTAAGGCAGACTGTGCCAGGCAAGAGTTTTACTAGTGTAAACACTAGGGGGAGCATTCAGTTTGTTTTCAATGTTTTTAACCCACTGGGGAATATTATTTTAAGACCTTATTCTTTGCAAGCAATATCCATGTGAGTGTGGAAAATACTAAGTCAACTAATTTGAAGTTATCTTGCAAGCTTAAAAATACACGCAGGTCTTTCCTCTTGAGAACTTTACTGACCTGAAGTCTTTGGAAATAAATGTGTGCATAGTGTTTGTAGTGTGCACCTTGGGAAAGAAAGGAGAGAATGACATTCTTAGTGTTTCTGAAGCATGCCATAACTAGAAAAGAAACTGAAAGTAGCAGATAACATGCACTGAATATAAACTTCTGAAGGCAAATGTTTAACAAAAACTTAGGTGGAATGTTTCAGTGATATGTATTCTTCATATGATTCTTTCATATATTCACATCATAGAACAGATATCTCCTATAAATGGCATTTTTCAAACTAGTTCGGAATCCGAGGTAACCAAATTTTAATACATGTTCTCTATTTGGTTTCAAGTCATCATGGGTTTTGCAAACTTCTGTAGTGTCTTAAATTTGTTTCACCATTTTATGCTTAGAAGTTGTCAATTCTAGAAGTTGTACCTGTGGCTTGTTTCTTCAGCAGAACCTGATCGAGGTCTGCACTAGGGTGATGTCACCGGGAATCCAGCAGGAATTTGTGTGTGATGCCCAAAGTTCAATAAACAAGAGACCAAAAGCAACAGTGTTAAGTGTTGGTACAGTTTGTGCCATATTAAGCAATTGGATGTCATAAAAAATACGAGGCGCATGTTTGACATACACATGATGTCTGACATCAGACATAATTTTGATGAAGGTTAAACTTTAAGAGGGCTAATACTCACTTTCCTTGAGGTGGATAGCACTCAGTAGCATTGTGATGGGTGCACAAACTGCAGCATAATACTCAGGCAGGGCTGCTGTAAAAAGTCACAATATTCAGTTTAATGGGTGTTCAAAAAACAGTTTTGTCTCTTTGTGTTGCGTAATAATAACAATGGGTTTTACAGCTATTTAAGATGCACCTGTAGTCCTTTACTATCTGACAGGTGATTTCCCTTTGTTTGATGATGTATATAGAAGTTTTAGCTCTAACAAACTTTAGGAAGTGAGTTGGTTTTCTCTGAGAATGCTTACAGGTATACATGAAAGATGGCTTTGAAGACTTCCCTGTAACTCTTCTATTTTCACCATTGGAGCAACTTACTCCAGTTTACTCAACTTCTGCCTTCTGGATTTGTTAATCAAGTTGAACATATGCTTCTTATGGGGGAGTCTTTATCACAGGTAGAAAAAACCTGCATGTTTAGGAGCTCTGGGAGTGCTAAGTGATTTTCTGCTTGCATTTTCTGCTCCTTCTAATTCTGAAATCCAGTTTTATTGTGTGATCCCAAGGAGTGTACAATTGCATATACCTGAGAAGATGAGGTGCATAAGAAACAAAACTGGGAAACTTGTGTGCTTCTGTGAAAGAATTTGCAGATTTCTTTAAACTGTGCTTGTAGCACTAACAGGCCCTTAAAAGAAAAATTAAAATTTATGCATTAGATTCTTAAAGCATACTTTTCATATTGCCAAAAAAATAAAATAGATGTGCAAGACTGTCTTCCACACTCCCTCAAGTTGTTTTTTTTTTCCGTGCCAAGTGTGGAAAATCTGGGACAAAAGTAACTGGTACTAGACATATTCAGCTGCCATTGAATTCAAAGGGGCTTTTCTGATTCTTAGTAGTATAATCTTAATCTTTGATTGCAATGTTGCTGCAAAGACCAAATCTGCAGAAATGGAAGTGTCTGAACATAAGATGGTCTATTTTATATAACTTATTCTCCTATTTTAGACAGTGAAAGTGTGTTAGGAATGTTAACTGCTTTTTAGTAAACATTAACTATAGAAGAAATTGTCTGTATATTATGTGTTAGTGTTTGTTTCTATCTTTCAAAGCAATTTGCACACTTATGTAAATATCATTTAGGTGATCTGAAATGGAAAAAATACCATTTACAGCAAGAAACTTTCCAAAACCAGTGTTGACTGTAAGAAAAATAAAGTTTAATTGTGCATGAAGGCTGAGCAATGGCCAGTGCAATGTATATGTGAAATCAGAAGATTTCTAAATTATCTGTAACTTAATACTCAGATGATCAAGTGCAGTGTGAAACCTCTGCTTTATTTGTTCTTTTCCCCAATCTGTGGTGTAAGAGTACAAAATGTGTTTGTGACAGCTCTACAGATGCTGCCTCTTGAGAAAAAAGCTATGTGTTTCACCAACATCGAAAATAAAACTTGAAGTTAACACATTTGTAGTAGCTTTCCCTGTTGTTGATCAGGTCCTGCTGAGTTCAGCTAATTCTATTTGTCACTTGGGTCAGATTTTCAAAGTGATTTTCAGCAGGAGAATGCAAGCTTGTCATTATTCGGTTGGATCCAATGTGAAGTTTGAAAAACAACTACATTTCAATGTTTCTTTACATTCTTTACACAATTTAAGGATGTGAATTCTGTAACTTTGGAGATTCGTAATTTTAGAAAAATCACCTTTTCTACTATTTCAAAGTCAAACTTGCTGAAATACTTGAAGGCTGAAGAATCTGGAATTGAAGTTCTTCAGTGTAAGAGGAATCATTCCTCAGAGTTTACAAATAAGCAGCTGTAAAACTACAGGAACTAAGCTGCTCTTGGAAAAAAATAAAAAGCTTTATCATCTAGATTTATAACAGATAGTGAACATTTTTGGATGCAGGATGGGAAAAAGAAGCAACCACAACCTCCCCAATTAGTAGTGATGGTAAAATTGGAGGAAGTAGATGTAACTTGAGAGAGCAGTAGGGAACCACTTGGGATCTGTGGTTGTTTGAGCAGGGATAATAATGTCTAAGCTAATGGTCTGTAGAGTCTAGCATCCCCAGGAGCTGGGCTCATCTCTTCCCCTACCTTGCTGCCTGTTGGACAAGACATGCATGAGTGTTGTCTCTGACCACCTTCCAAAAGGCTGATGGGTCTTTGCTCCAGTGCTGCTGTCGTTGCCCTTCGGCAGTGATTTCCAGTGCGTGCGCAGCACAGCAGTGCAGCCTTTAGCCTGGGACGGGAGCGAGAGGCAGCTGCAAGACTGCACGTACGTTTTAAGAACATATGGCTGTTGTGATTCATCTGCTTGGGAATAGTGGTAAAGAGCGTGGCCGGACTCCGCAGTGCTCGCTGCCAGGGTGTTAACTGGTGTGAAACCAGTTTAGACTACACAACATAAACGTTGCGATCCTGGCGTGACAGAAGCAGGCCCTGGCACGTGTAAAGTGCAAATGAGTTGTCATTAGTTGCCTTGCTTGTTTTGGTTATGTATTTTTGTGCCTTTATTTTGCATTGTTTCTAAACTTGGTGTAACCTGAAGTGGGTCTGTTTTCCTGAGAGTGTTGTTCTCTGTTAGCACTAGATGGTGCTGCAGGGCTGGCACAGGGCTTTCCTCTGCAGATGGGCAGCCTTCACTCTATGTGCATGACAGATTCTACATTTAAATGTGCTGAGCTGGAGTATTGATTTGGTTAGAAACATCCTAAGGGGTACCTGCTTTTGCTGCTGCTTCTCACGGCTGGAAACACCTGCCTGAAGTTGTTGATGAGAGCAGTCCTGTAGGGCCATCACCCTCCTGTCCTGTACTAGCTGCTGTGCAAGTCCTCTAGGATGCAGCGTTCCCACCAGGCAGCTGTGCCTGCTGCTCGGGCATATGGGGTCAGTGCTGCGTACAGCCTTGCTCCAGCGTTACCTGCCCTTACAGCTGGCCCCACTGTTGTGCTGAATCCGGGCTGACACACTTCCTGGCCTGCTGGCTGCTGTGAATTGCAAGGGCTGTCTCAGAGCTTTCCTCAGCAGGGCCAGTGCCAGGATCTGGCTGCCAGTGAACACTCCCACTCCCTGCCTCAGAGAGCTGGTGGCAAGAGACTGCCTTGGCTGCTGCTGCCAGAAGTACTCGCGCCAACTGTGCTGCTAATGGACTCGGGCCACGAGCAGGAGGTGAGAAGACCACTCAGCAGCAGCAGCATGGCTCTGGTCATAAGGAAGAAGACTTAAGCCATTCTGTGTTGTTCAAGGTGCCTGGGAATAAGTACAGGTCCAATCCTCCTTCTACCTTGTGCTGATACCCATCTCCTTCTCACCTGTTGCCTCAAACTTAAGCAAATGCATTTATAGTTTTGCCAGAGTGTTTTATCACATGATAAATGGGCCCTTCAAGAGGTTCAAATGCCAGCTGTGATGGATATGACCAATTTGCCTTTCTCTCCACTTCTCTGAACATGGACCTGGGAAATTGGGTGATTAAGAGCCAACTTACAGAGGGTGAGTCGGTGCATGGCTGGGTGAAGAGTGAATAAAATGGTAGCCAATGTGCACTATAACCTGTTAATAGAAATTTTCAACTCTAGGGCTGGCTGATTCTGCTACGGTTGCAACTCTTGTTGCAGCCACAAAATTTTATGAAATGCCTCATGGACAAAATGCAGTGTTAAAGGACAGAAATCAATAAGTATATGTGTGTGTGGGGGGAAATTAACTGAAAATGGGAGGAGTGAGTTGGTCACTAAATAATGCTGTGCTGATGGATGGAAGAGAGGGCTACTGCTGCAATTTGCTGAAAGGACTTTGCTTTAAAAAAAAATACACCACATCCTGATTCATCCATAGAGGCAGGGAGGGAGGCATAAGGACTGGCATGACTGCTCTCTTCATGGTGGGGAGAAGTTCTTCTACCATGTGCCATGTGAGGCAGTATGAACACAGACACACGCTGGGATTTAAGTTCTTTGCCTGTCACTAACAGACTGGAATTCAGGAATTAAAGGTAAAAAACTTAAAGCAGCAGACAGGGACATCTTTTGTGTGTGTGTGCGTGTGTGTGCATGCAGCTGACAACTTTCTATATAACGCTTGCTGTGCTGCACTGCTCAACAACTGCCCCAGAGTAATTGTGTTAATAATGATATAGCTGAAAATTCATGAAGTGTAAAGATCTATGGTACCCCATGTGTTTTATGGGTGTCAAGTGTTTTATTTAACTGACTACCATTCAGTGATTTTCTGGATTTATCTTGTGTAAATGGATGATTTTGCAAGCTGAATAACTGGAGAAAGAATGACGTTCCTCTCAGCACGTGATCCTGGAGCACAGGTTGGTGTGTAATGAGTGGTTAAAGCTGGGTGGACTTGGGAGGTGAGGCAGCTTTGTAGCAGCACCAACTGAGCAAAGTATTTTAAAGCTTTTATAACAGTGATGTAGAAAGAATAGTGTATTTTAAAATTGTCCTTTAAATAAGACATGATCTGGTAACTTCCATGGTCTTAATGTTTATCTTCCTGTACTTACCAGATACTGCGTCTCATGGGAATTCTTAAGAACTAATTTTCTTGGAAACACCAGCACAGAGTTATTTCTCAGCACTTTGAAATACTTCAGTCTACTCCTGATGCAATACATGAGTTTGGTGACAGGCCCTGCTGCCAAGGAACATTTGAAAGGAAAACACCCTTCTTTTTTGTTGATTGAGAAAGAGATGTACATAGAAGGCTTAGGTGTTGGCTATTTTTCCCTTTAGATCCTAATATTCTCTGATATAAGGATGGATTTTTTTCCTTTGTTGTTCATGCATGTTAGTATGTGATCTGAAATTCAAATAGCTGTTTTTCTGTATCTGTCCTCCTGTAGCCATTGGGAGCAAAAAATTTCTTGTGGCTGAGATGGGGGCAGAGGGGAAATCAGCAGAGAAAGCATGCACGTGACTGTGCACACTAGTCACTTTTTGGTTTAGGGTGTGTTAACACAGAACTGCTTGTGATCTCTTTGTGGATGGGAGGCTGTCACATGGCTTCAGATCTATATGATTTTCCTGCCCTTTTTTTTGTGGAGATGCTGCAATGATGTTGGAACAGGTGTGAATGTCTCATGGCCAAACAGAATCTGGTATTAATGACATGCAGCCGAGGTAGTAAATGCAAGTAGCAACCTGAATGCACACACATGCTATATATTTACCTCCACTTGTATTTATAGCATAATAATTTTTGTTTTAAAAGGTCATGGATATCTAAAACAGGAAACATATTTCAGAAGTAGTGTTATGTCACAAGACTGAAATGCAGAATGGGATGACTTGAAATTTACTGTAATTTGGGGTATGTATTAATTGCTTCAACACTTTCAGAGAGGTTTCTTTTTCAAGGATAAGTTTCTGTGTATCCATTTTGCATGAGACAGCTATGGAGAAACATTCCACATCTGCGATCACTCCATCTGACTTTAAAATAGTTTGTTAAAAGTGTCGGGGTGGGAGGAGGTATTCAGAGTAAATTTTTTCCAAGGGATTTCAGGAATAGTAAAAAAGAAGTTAAAGAAAACCTGTGCCTATTGTGTTTTCCTTATAGCAGATTGCCCTGTGGATAATTCTGCTGATGACTGTATGTAGTATTATATTGCTATAATATGAAAATTTGGTCACTTTTAAATGCAGATATTTTAGCTACTAGGACTCTGATATTTATGAATCAGAAGAGTGGAAACATTAATTAATAGATTCAACATGACTGAAGTAAAGAAAGAGACGAGGAGGTAGTGTGTGATGTGGAAAGGAGTGGACTTAGAAAGACAGAATGGAGGAGGGTTCCAGCCCAGTGCTGAGTACTCGTGCCCTCTTATGTGTGAAGATAGGATGACAGAACAACTGGAGATGTAGTGTGTTGTTTGGCAAATAACGGAGAAATGTAACATGAATCATACATCTGATAGCTTGTGTCAATCAAAAAAGTCACCATTTTTGTCAGAGATTTAAGGTGTTTTGGGCATCATTGGAAATTCTGATGCACTGCAGTAGGGAAAAGCACTTTTTTTATGATGTCACTTTAATGAATGTCGAATTCATACTATTCTATTCTAATGTATTTATTCAGTGGAGATTCCAGATGCATAGCAACTGAACAGAGAGTGTAGTTAAAGGGATCATGTTCGCTGCATTGTTTCCTTTCCTTTTCAGGTGTGTACATTTTGTCTTTGCTGCAGGAGCAGGAGTGTTCCTTGAAGGCTTTGCTGAGGGGTTTCTGAGGGTTTGTTTTGTTTTTGGGTTTTGATTTTTGTTTGTTTGTTTGTGGTTTTTGTTTTTGTTTTTGTTTTTTAAGCTTACCCTGAAGGGAAAACAAACTTTTGCTTTGGGCAGATAATCCAGGAAGTCTTCACTCTTTTGACTTTTATTTGCTTTACTCTCAGCGCCTTATTAAAATCATTGCTTTTCGATTGACAGAGTGCCGAACTTGGTTTTTG